AAAATACTGTGAATGACTTGCTTGACTTGCTTACAAAAATAGGGGTTACTCCCTCTATTTATAACTGAGCTACACCCAAAGCCCAAAGCCCAAAATATCTATTTTGTTATTAAATCAAATCAAATCTATTCTAGACTTAAATCAAATCTATTTAAATCTAAATAAATCTAATCTTTTCGACACTATGAATTATAATTTAACACTTTCTATAACACAAAGTTCTACAAATTATTAAAATCAAATTGATTGTAGATTTAGAAACATAAAAGATTTAAGGAATTTGATTTAAAATTTAGGTTTTTAAAAAAATAATATTAAAATTTGAGTTTAAATGAAATTTAGAAGAAGAAGATGAATGTTAAAGATGAAGAAAATGGATATTTGAAGACGAAGAAGATAAATATAAAATAAAATAATTAATTATTAAAATTAATTAAAAATATATTATTTAATATAAAAATCATTTATATTTAAAAATTAAAACCTATTAATAAATTACTATTAGATAATCGGTCTTTCATCACATCTATTCAAATTAAATAACAATATATTAAAACTAAAATAAGCATTTGGACCATGGTGGAGAAAAAGTAATTGGACCATGCTAAATGCCACCACGGCAAAGCCAGTTAATGGACAACGCAACTGAAACAATTACTTGCTTGACTAATTTCTTTTATTCATTTTAAGAAAAAATAAATGTGAGGTATAGGTCACCTTTAATAAAATATAGGTAAAATATTGTAGGTGACATGACATAATAGTAAAAAAAACACATGTAATCAATTTTCAATGTTAAATATTTAAATTATTTTTTGTTGCCCAAGTAGCCTAGTAGAGAACAAAAAATAGTATCAATTGTCTCTAACGCGGGATTAAAAGTTGTTTATTTTTGATTGAGTTGGAGAAATATTACTCGCGAATAAATTTAAGAGTTGTCTAATGAATGATTAGTCATGACAATCGTTCATGACAAGAAATTGGTAGAATCAAAGGGTTGATGGCTACATACAAATATTTGGAGCATAATTATTGTGCATGTGAAGAATCATTGGATCAAGGTCTTTTGAGATCTTGTTTTGTTAGCAGTTTAAGTGTCAGCATCAACAATGTGGTTTATTGTCTAATATTCCAATGTAATCAAAACGCTAGTATCAAACTTATTAAAATAGTGGAAGATCGTGATTATTTTTCGATGGTTTTTAACACCATTTAATAGTGGAGTAGGCAATGCGAGGACGACATGTGGAGTAGACATGGTTTTTTGTGTATCTTTTCTTCTTCCCTCAACTCTTTTACTTTTCAAGCATTCATTACCATGCAATATATATATATATATATATATATATATATATATATATATATATATATATATATATATATATATATATATATATATATATATATATATATATATATATATATATATATATATATATATATATATATATATATATATATATATATATATATATATATATATATATATATATATTCAAAGAAAAGAGACACAAAATTTGGCCTATGGAGGCCTATGTTCAAACCATTTTGGGCTAATATTTGCTCTACCACATTGTTTATGTGATTATGTCCTACCAAGTTATTTTGTGGAACATGGCCTAAAACTTGGTCAGCGTCTTGGTTTCGATGCACCATGACAATTCCTGGTGCTTCTTGTGCTATGATGCCTTCAATTTCCCTAGGCGCGGGTGTTTTGACTGCTACTGTTAGTTGTTGAGGTTATGTGTCTGGAAGCTATTAGACTGGCAATTGGGGAGTTACAAAGAAATCAACAATTTGACACATTTGTTGTGTCAGTTGCTGGTAACAATGTATTGTAATATGAATTAAAGGATTAAACACTGAGCCCATTTGTTGTGTGGGCAAATGAACCATTTCATGCTTACTCTCATCCATTTGTTGTCTAAAAGATTGGAGAGTATGATTGGTCACGATTGGCATCACAGAAGAAGGGTAACTAGATCCTCCCAATGGTTATGTCGTTCGACCAGGATATGTCATTGTGGTCCCTAGGGGTAAATATGGATTCCTAATGGATGTGACCGCTGTCTCATTGTCTATGAACGTGGATGCAGTCAGTTAAAGGCTTGCCATGAATGATGTCAGCATGTCATAAGGTTGTTCTCGGCCATTTAAATGCATTGAAAAATTTAATGGAAAGAAAGGACTTTGGTCTACAACATCACTTTGGGGTTCCCTAGGGGTAGTGGGAATGCTCGACACTCGTGGTGGCGTAACTACTGTCCCTTGTGGGGCTGTCGGATTATCTATCTGACTAATGTTAGAAGGATTTTCTCCTCCAACATTTGACGTTCCCACTACATCTTGTGATGGTATGTAAGCTTGTCCTCCCGTGTTTTGATGGTCGTTTTGGGGAGGTGGGGTATTTCTCAATGGTGGACATGCCATTTCTAACCATTTTTTTCGCTCCTTAAGCGCATACAACCAACAACATTTCACAAACGAAGAACTGGAAATATTTTTCAAAAAGATACACTTTTTATAAAGAACTTCTTATGAATCTAATGCACAAAAAGGTCCCACTGAGTGTGCCAATTTTTTTACTGTGAATTTTAGTAATCAACCGCTAGTCTCTTTTCAGAAGTTTACTTGCAGGATCGATTAGTGAATCCTAGGACATATGTGCATAAATCTTCTAGGTTTTGTATAAGTTTGTAAGAAAGTAATGGATTTCGACATAAACGAAATCTTGGTACAAAAATAAAACAAATGAAATTAAAGTTACTGGGAATGGAAAGGATTTCGACAGTGGTCGAAATCCTGATAACTTGAAAAGAAATGAACTGAATTACAAAGAAGATAAAATCAAGTTAAAATACTTTGTATTAAATAAACTTTGTTTTTAGAATCATACATTGCACTCGCTTGACTCGTTTCTCACTTCGTTTGGGTACTTTGAGTTTATGAGTTTTTGTAGTAAATTCAACACCCTTAATCCTAACGCTAGAACTTAAATTTACACTAACACATACATAGCTTCTAGCAACGGTACTTTCTATGATGATTGACACGCCTTCGCTACATGCACTTCGCTTTTAGACCCACTTCCACGCGTCCTTCCAATTAGATAAGGTCAAAAAATAGTTACTTAGCCACGCTGCATATTTCAACTGTTCTTGTCGAAATGTTTTCATTTATTGTCCTCAAACTAATAAGTCTCAAATCTCGTTACCAGCATAGGGACTTCGACATAAAAGAAGCTTTGGTTAAATGTTAAGAGCGTCAATGGCATATCTAACTGAACATGAGGAAGAAGACACTAATTCGGTGTCGTTATCACTAGGTGATACACACATCGAACTTCCACTAGAAGAACTATCATAACTACCAAGAAGTTCCCTCTATACAAAATTCTAATCTATTTTCCGCATACCATATTCCGAGCTCCTCAATCATTGAGTCCATAGCTCACATCTCTCAGCATCATTTTGAGGCTGTCTAATAAACACCATGAGTAGAAAGGGGAAACAAAAAATCACATGGAAAATGGAGTGTTACCTGATGTTGTGAGCGGTTGAAGAACCTGTAAGATAAGTAAGGTAGGGAATGGCAGGAGATGTAAAGTAAGCGTACAAATTGAAGTGAAAAGATGTGAGAAATGAAAAATCACAAGCCTAATGGTTAAGTGGCAGACAAAAGGACAATTGCATTTAACTTTATTCTTCTGGAAGGAGTATGAATATGACATGAGTTTTCTATGATTCTCTGGCATGTGGAAATCATTAGAGTTACTGGAAAGTTGCTACATCTATTATAAGTGGAAGAGTCAGAGAGTAGGTTTAGATAACCAATGTGCAGTAGTCGGTCATGGTCAAAGGTTGCTAATTCCAAAAAAAAAATAGAGTAAGCTCACTGAAGAGGGATTGTCGGTTGAGTCGTAGCAGACAATCATTAACATGTCTCGAAAAAGAATTTCTCCCTTACGCGGCTCATGCTTGGAAAATTGTGTAAATGTCCTATCACTTGATTGGTGTTAGAAAAGCCTTTTTCCCTTACGTGGATTATGCTTAGGAGATTGTTTAAATGTTTGACCTCTTGACTAGTCTTTGAAAATAATTTCTCTCCTACACATCTAATGCTTCCAACCTCGTGATCGATCTTAGAAAATCATTTCGCCCCTACACGGCTCGTGCTTGAGGGACTATGTAAATGTTTGACCTTTTGATAAGTCGGGAATCAGAAACACGTATACCTAGAAGATATAATAGTGATGAGTGTGCTCCCTCGGAGTTGGTCGGATTATAGGGTAAAGTTAGACAAGCTAGCCTAGGCAAATAAAGGCGCGCCCACAATAAATAAAATAAGGTTAGAACAAAGGAACAGACCGTCCCATTTGGCCTAAGACCAGCGTAAAGAAGGTCACTGAATAAATAGACTTAAATGTATAAGATAATGAATAAATAGACTTAAATGTATAAGATAATGCATTTATACCTAATTGAAAGACATTATGACTCAGGATCTGATGTAGAGTATTATATCAATAACATAAGATAAATTGTACTCATTATTTTTATTGTAATTTCTTTAAAAGTAATTAATTTCGTAAATATATTTAATATTTATTTTTATATTATTTAAGATTTTAAATATTAATTAAATAAAAAATAAATAAAAAACTCAAAATTTCTTGTTAATTTTTAAATAACTCAATTCATATCTTAATTTAAACCTTTATACTCATTGAACAAGACATGAACACATTTTCCTTTTGTGGAGTAAACATGTAGTAAACCAAATAAAATTTTGGCCTAACAATGTGAATCAAATTTTAAGATCGCAATTTGAAATCATTTGAAGTACCTTTTAATTGTGTTTATCATGGTTATGCAAAGACACCTCAGATATTTATGAGGAAAAAGTTGGCAAAGAGTAATCAAATTTGAATCCAAAAACCAATAAATCTATTATATAAGCTGTAGAACACATTATAAACATTTTCAGAAATCTAAAGAAAAATGTCATCATCTTCTACCTTCAAACTTTTTTTATTATCATTCATTCTTTGCATTCTCTTCCAAGAACACACTCATGCACTTACAAAGGCAAGAATGTCCTTAATCCCTTCATAACAATATTCACATGTTTTTTTTTAAATATAAACAAGTTTTTTCCATTAAAACAAAATATACATTTTCATAATTATTTTCTCTTTTTGTAGACATATATTGTATACTTGGGAGGACATTCTCATGGTCCAAATCCTTCTCTTGATGATCTTGATTCAGCCACAAATTCACATTATGACTTACTTGCTTCAATCTTAGGAAGGTATATTTATAAATAGAATCCATAAATTTATTTTTGTTACATAGTTTGAGAAATTTAGTACTATAAAAATGTTTGTAACAGCCATGAGAAGGCAAAGGAAGCAGTTATGTATTCATACAATAAGCATATAAATGGATTTGCTGCATTACTTGAAGATGAAGAGGCATCAAAGATTGAAAGTGAGAAATATGGTTAAGTTTTTCGCCATGGATTTGTAGAGTCATATTTTGAGACATTATTTGTTTGATATATGTTTCTGTTGGTGTAGAGAACTCCAATGTAGTTTCTGTTTTCTTGAGCAAAGAATATAAGTTGCATACTACAAGATCATGGGATTTTCTTGGATTGGAAAAAGATGGAGGAATTTCTCTTGATTCTGCTTGGTGGACGGCAAGATTTGGTGAAGATTCAATCATTGCTAATTTAGATTCTGGTAAAAAATAATTTTATGATACGTCATAACCATTGAATGACTGCTTAAATTTTTATGACTGCAAATTAAATTGAAAAATTTTAAATTATTTATATGATACGGATATATATATATATATATATATATATATATATATATATATATATATATATATATATATATATTGATGAGTGGTTTGTTGTTGAAACAGGTGTTTGGCCAGAACATGTGAGCTTCAGCGGTACCGGCTACGGTCCAGTGCCATCAAAGTGGCGTGGGAATGGGGTCTGTGAGATTGATCATTTTATTACTTCTTCAAATGCAACAACATTCTGCAATAGGTCATCTTCTTCACTTATTTCATTCTACAGCACCATCGTTTTTTTTTCTTACTCTAAAGTACATTAACCTTATTGCATAAATAAATCTGTTTCTCTTTTTCCAGCAATGAGGGAAATTATTAAACTTAAATTCACGTTCAGAATTAAATTCATGGTACTACTTTAAGTGTTGTCGTTTTCTAAATAAAACTCTATCTTTCTCTACCTATCACAAAAATTGGATATTGTACAACAATCATTCAATGTTTACTATTTTATTTTATTAAATAAATTATTTATTAAAGGGAAATTACATATTAAAAATGATTGTGACACAACATCTCCCTCTAATTTGAAAATATGCACAAGGACCTTTCAAAGATCTATTAAAATTATATTGACATCCTCTCTAAATTTTAGTGAGCTAAAATCGTATGTATAAATAATATTTATTTACACTTTTGGATTAGTCATTAAAAAATTTCGTTAGTATATTTATGTTTAAGAGAGTTAATGCATATTTTAAAATTAGAACGCTCTCAATGTCATTGTAACAAACATAGGGGGAAAAGTGAGTGTAATTTTCCTTTTATTAAATAATTAAAGTTTGGATGTATTTGTCTCTTTAGAGTTTGGTTTCAACCAATAACATTTTATTTATTCATCTTTTATGAGTGAACTTTCGAATTTTAAATTACTTGATAAAAAGTCTTGTTAAATCAGTTTAGTTAGGGACATCAAATATAATGACGCGTGTTCAAGCTTGCAACATCTTATTTATTGCGAGTTCAATCTCGTGACATCAATTATAGTGGCTATGTTATAAGATGAGAAAAATACTAGATAAAAAATTAGATGAAAATATGCACAAGGACCTTTCAAAGATCTATTAAAATTATATTGACATCCTCTCTAAATTTTAGTGAGCTAAAAATCGTATGTATAAATAATATTTATTTACACTTTTGGATTAGTCATTAAAAAATTTCGTTAGTATATTTATGTTTAAGAGAGTTAGTGCATAATGCTCTCAATGTCATTGTAACAAACATAGGGGGAAAAGTGAGTGTAATTTTCCTTTTATTAAATAATTAAAGTTTGGATGTATTTGTCTAGTTTGGTTTCAACCAATAGCATTTTATTTATTTATCTTTTATGAGTGAACTTTCGAATTTTAAATTACTTGATAAAAAGTCTTGTTAAATCAGTTTAGTTGGGGACATCAAATATAATGACGAGTGTTCAAGCTTGCAACATCTTATTTATTTAACAAATAATTTACTCAATTAAAAATCTTGTTAAATCAGTTGAATTGGTGACATCAATGGAATGACGCAAGTTGAATCTCGCGACATCAATTATAGTGGCTATGCTATAAGATGAGAAAAATACTAGATAAAAAATTAGATATTTTTAAGTCTATTTCCCAACTCCTATGTTATGTGACAAATTATAGAAAGCTAATTGGAGCAAGAATATTCAGCAAAAACTACGAAGCAAGATATGGAAATCTGAACCCTGCAAACCTCACAGCACGTGACTTCATTGGCCATGGAACACACACCTTATCAACAGCAGCAGGTAACTTTTCACCTGATGTAACAATCTTCGGCAATGGCAATGGCACTGCAAAAGGTGGATCCCCTAGAGCACGCGTGGCATCCTACAAAGTGTGTTGGTCTAAAACTGATGTAGCAGGATGTCAAGAAGCTGATATTCTAGAAGCATTTGATCATGCTATAAATGACGGTGTTGATGTGATTTCAACTTCTTTGGGTGGTTCTAATCCTTATGTTGAAGCTTTGTTCACGGATGGGATTTCGATTGGGTCGTTTCATGCTGTTGCGAAGAATGTTGTTGTTGTTTGTTCTGCGGGGAATGATGGACCTGGTCCGAGAACTGTTACCAATGTTGCTCCTTGGTCTTTTACTGTTGCGGCTAGTACCATTGATAGGGAGTTTGTTAGCCAGATTTCTATTGGAGGCAAACATTATATTAAGGTATCATGTTTTTTCTGTTATTTTTGGCGGGGGCGAGTCAAAGTTTCCGACCCGCCCCTTCACTTTATATTTTGCCTGGTCGGACATTTCGGTTTGCCATTCCCTAATTACAAATATATTTTATTGGAGGGAGAAAAGTTTAAGAACATTTATGCAGACTCTCTTCCCATTATATTCTATTGGATTGAATTTCAGGGTGCAAGTCTTAGTAAAGGCTTACCATCAGGTCCATCACAGAAAATATATCCAATGATTCATTCCATCGATGCTAGATTTCTTAATGCAACAATTCAAGATGCGTAAGCACATATTCCATAAACTTGTTTCAAATAGGTACAAATTTTTTTTCATTGTTTTGTATGGATTTCTGTTACATATATATGTGTATTACCGCAGTCGTTATTGCAAGCCTAAAACACTTGATCCTACCAAAGTAAAGGGAAAGATATTAGTCTGCACTCGACTCGACGAAACAACATCTATTGCTCAAGGCTTTGAAGCTGCTCTTGCAGGGGCAATAGCTATTTTTGTGATCAATGATGAGAAAAGTGGAAGTATACTTCTAGCTGAGCCTCATCCTTTACCTGGTGCAAGTATGGACGCTAATCAGGATGACGATATTGATCAACGCGAATGGTTTGGAAAAGGTGGTACAGACAATAACGGTACCAGGTAAACACATGAGTTTAAAGATTATGCATTGACAATGTAAAAAAAAAAAAATTCCATCATTACATTGTTAAAGTACTTGCAGCGAACGAAGAACTTTGTTTATTTAAATTATACTGCAGGAGAATGCTTGCTTACATGTCGACTTCAACAACGTATACTGGATTAAAGCCAGCTCCGGTTATGGCTGGATTTTCATCTAGGGGTCCTAGTGCAGTTCAGCCATTGATACTCAAGGTCTGCAAACTTTTATAACTAGCAATGCCCCTCGAATGATCGTCTATTTTTTCAAACCTACGTTCAACGAGTACTCTCCTTCATTAATTTTGTGACTGCATTGCTTTCGTTGTCTATTTCAGCCTGACATAACAGCTCCTGGAGTGAACATACTAGCTGCATATTCACTAGGCGTTAGTCCATCTAATCTACCGTCCGATCCACGTCGAATTCCTTACAATCTGCAACAAGGAACCTCAATGGCTTGTCCTCATGTTGCTGGAATTGTTGGTCTTCTCAAAACACTTCATCCTAGTTGGAGTTCAGCCGCCATCAAATCAGCCATCATGACTACAGGTACGATTCTACGAAAAATAAATGATCACTCGCTTTTATTAGTAAAATGTTCAGTTTTCTTGCTAAAAACTATGTTCTTCTTGCAGCTACCACGCTAGATAACACCAATCAACCAATCCGTGACGCGTTCGATAAGATATCAACTCCATTCGAATATGGTTCTGGACATATTCAACCTAACCTCGCAATGGATCCTGGTCTTGTTTATGATCTGAACACAACAGATTACTTAAACTTCATATGTACTTCTACTCACAATCAAAATTTGCTAAAGTTCTTTAACAAAACCTCGTTCACTTGTCCTGAATATTACAACATTGAAGATCTTAACTATCCTTCAATCACCGTATATAATCGAGGGTTAAACACTATAAACATCACTCGTACCGTTACGAATGTTGGTCCTCCAAGCACATATGTTGCTCAAGTTCAACATCCAGAAGAGGTTAAGGTTAATGTTCAACCAAGTCCTTTAACTTTTACAGAAATTGGAGAAAAGAAAACATTTCAGGTGATTCTGGAAGTAACAGGTGTGCCTCCTAGTGGTTTTCCGGTGTTTGGGAACTTGAGATGGACAAATGGCAACCACATAGTGAGTAGTCCTATTGTGATTCTGTAAGTTAAGAAAACTCTTATGAAGAACATTATGTTATCATTTTTAAGATTATGTATTGGTGTGTATTGTTATTAGGTTGATAAGGTAGTTTGTGTTTTTTAAGTATTGGAATGGCAATTGTATTCGACAAATGTTATGCTGGAGTTATGTTTGTAATAAGCACTTTACTAACTATGTATGAAACTCGTCCAACATATTTGGATATTAAATAATTTAAATTCCAGCGGAATTTAAGTGCTCTTTTATTTGGCAGAAGGTTTACTTGGTGTTTTGATGAGAAGATTGGACAGGAATTGGTTGTTGGAAGATTGGCTAACGACTTGGACTGATATAAGGTTGTGTTGTGGATTATACTGAAAGATGTGTACGACCGTTGTTCTTTTTGTTGGAACATACACAAAAATTAAGTTGATGAATCAATGGAAAAAAATGATTAATTGGAGAAGACGAAATGAGAAAATAAGATGAAGAGAAAATATAACAAATGACATTAACCAACACACATTACATCTGAGGGTATTTATAAAGCATTACAAAATAAGTGGGAAACTAAACAACTCAAAAAATAAGTCAAAAAGCTCAAAACACAGGCTCATAATTGATTACGGAAAACAGCGTAATCGATTACGCCTACTCAAAACAGAAATATCAGAATTGAAAAAACCTCCGTAATAGATTATGCCCTTTTACGTAATCGATTACGCTCCCGAAAAATCTAAATTATGCATTTCAGAAGTGCTTATTTTTTAGTTGTTTCCTCCAGTTTGCTTCCAGAAGTTTATACAATGCATTTGAATTACTTTGTACATCCAATACACCACCTTAATTCAAATGCTCAAAGTTCTCCAAGCCCAAGTACATCACCAACTTCTTGAACACATCATTTGTGATCCCTTTCGTCAACAAATACGCAACTTGTTCTTCGCTTCGACGATATTCCAACTTCAGCTTGCCTTCACACACCAGATCGCTCAAGTAATGAAAAATCATCTCAATATGCTCGTTCCTCCCAATGTGCAATAGAATTCTTAGCAAGATTAATGGTGTAATAATCGGCAAAAAATAAGAGTCGTCACCATTAATTTTTATCCTAAGGATGGAGAAATAATTGAATAACCCTAAAGTCGATACAAAAATTCTAAGTCTTGACTCACTTTAGACAAAGGGAAGGTATTAGACACCATATCTACCTTGTTCACAAGGATACTAGGATTTAGGTTTAAAGGTTAAGGAATAGGGTTTTAATTTTTTTATAAGGGGAACTCGCCACGATTTTTAAGTCATATGTCTCTGTATCTTCTTATGAGGAATCAGAATTCGTAGTTCGAAGTGTTTGGTTAGTTTTTTTTATGAATTGTGGAAATCCCTTAGATTCTCCTTGAGCTAAGTTTGAGTTTGAAGTTAGCGGAATTGTAGACGTAGTTCGCGGTTGATAAAAAGAAGTTTCCACAGTCCTTTTTGAAAATAAATATAAATTTGAGTTATGTTAGTAAAAAACAGTTAGTATTTGATTGGTTAGATGTTTTGGAGTATATGATGCAATATGAGAAAAATAAGTTTTAATGCATGAGAAAAATATTTAATGCAAAAAAGGTTAGCATTTAAAAAAAATTTAATTAATAAATAACTATTTTATAATTTATTAAAATATATTAAATATTTTTAATAAAAAATATTACAATTATTTACTAAATATGCAAAATTATATGTTAATGTGGTAAATTATAAAATGATAGTAGATAAATAAACAAATAAATAAATGAAATTATAAAATTAAATAAACAATTTTTTTTTTAAAAAACGCAGGGGGTGTAAACTCAATTGGTTAGTAAAAATATGGGGGTGTGAATATGACGAGCCTAAGTTCAGATATTGAACTGGGTCCAAAACGCGCAGGGGAGGTGTTGTTTTAATCACGACAGTAAAACTCAAGTGCTGAATAACAATGGGCCTTAAGCCCAAGAGAAAATAATATGACCTGTTTGGATCATGTGTGGCAGGCGCATGAGGCTACGGTGAGGGTGCGTAATCTGGGGCGTTCGATTAAGATCAAAGGGAGAAGATGCGAGGATGTGTGGTAAGTGAAGCGCATGGGATCACAGAGGGATTATAATTTTTGTTTTCTTTCATTTTTATTTCAATTGTTCTTTCTCACCCCTACTTTGCTCTTTCCGTCTCCTTCACCCCCTCTTCTAACAACACAAACCCTAAAAATCTCCTACCTAGAACCCCCAACAAGGCGGAGATCTTTGAACATCAACAACCCCAACCCAACTACCGAACCACAATAACAATCACAACCACAAATCCAAAAAACTCTAAGCTAAGCATTTCAACGAATTACCTCTCTCATCGTGATTATGTTTGCTTTAATCTTCTTCTTTTGGTCTTCTCTGGATCCGCCTATGATTCCTTCTCTTTTTCGTGTATCAGATGATAGCGGCGACTTCGACGGATGCACTATGTCAATTGAAGATCTTAGGGTTTCTGTTCAGAAACCCTAGATCGATTATTCAAAGAAATGCTCCGGCGACGCGATCTCACTTTTCTCCTTCTCCTTTCGTTAATTTTTCCCGGTCCAACTTTTTTCCTTGTTTTTAGTTTTTAGGGGTTTTTATAGTATTTTGGACTAGATAATTTTAGGAAATATTTGTTGATTGTCGTTACAAAATTGTTGATTGATAAAAGATTGTGCTAGAATTTAGTTTAATTGAAGAATTATAGTTAGATTAGACTTGATTTAGGTTAGATTAGATTTAATTAGAGATTTGAATTGGTTATGTTGTGAATAATATTAATATTCAATTTGTAATTTGATATGATTTTGTAAAGATTTGATTCAATTGTAATGTTTGATTCAATCTTGCTTTCTGAGATTTTGCGTGTTATTGAATTAATGGGTTTGTTTCGATTGCATTTCTGGGCCCTCTAGTTTCTGGATTAATTAGGGTAACTTAGGGTTAAAGAGAATGTACAGGGTCATGGAAACGGCGCCACTGGGCTTGGAAAACTTAGGGTTTTCATCCCTATTTTGACTTAGTCAACGGTTGCAAAATGTGATAATAATAATATTATAATAATAATAATAAAAATAATAATATTAGTTATAATAATATAAGTGTATAGTATTAATAAAAATGTTATAATAACAACGAAATCAGTATAATAATAATAATTTAATTAACAATGATTAAAATAATAATACTAGTTATTATATTAATAATAATAATAATAATAATAATAATAATAATAATAATAATAATAATAATAGGAAGAATCAGTTGACTCGGTCAACCTTGACAAAAAACTACGGGCCTTCAAAACCTCTTAATGGGCCACTCATGGCACACTCAAAAATAGAAATTGACACACCTCCTTTTGTTGTACCTTAATGGACCAAACGAACTAAATGGACCTTTCTTAGAAAGCCCACAAACCCTTAATTAAAACACACACCCCTTTGTATCATTTAAACCCTCAATTTATAAATGGAACCAAAAGTTTAACGGGCCATCAGATTTTGATGGTCTATAGTACACCCCTCTTATGATTTTAATCTCCTATTAGAACAAGACTGAAAAACAAGCAAATTTCCATAATATGATTTATAATTTAGAAACATAGTGTTGTACCCCAAAATTTTCCCTCCCTTTTCTCAATACACTTCTCACAAAGATCCTCAATGGCTCAAGCTTGCACAAGTGTTGACTAGGTCAAACCACCTCCTAAACACTGAGACCCCAAATTAGGGTTTTGATTTTCACAAGGACAATTGGACTTATGATGATTCCAATGACTTTCATGGTTTATTATAGACCTCCAAGATTTCTCATACCAAGTTTCAAGTCTTGCATCTCAAAATTGCTCAGATGACTGAAAATCAGTTTGTGTTGGTTAAAAAGTCAAATGTGGCCAACTTGCAGTCAAACTTCAATTTTTTTACCAATATCAACATTTTAAAGTCATAGTAATCAATTAATCAAGTTTGGATCATAATTCCTCAAGAAAAGTGTTCAAACCATCAAAGGGGCAAAATTGTCAAAATTATGGTTTGACTGAGAATGAATGATCAGTGACTTTTGACCTAGTACATGACCTAATGACTTGAATCATGATCTCAAGGGTTCAAAGACAACATGTTGACCTAATTTCATGACTCAAATCCTTTCTCAAGATCAATTGATTGATAGTTGAAATTTGATCAACTGATACACAAAAGTCAAACTTTGACTTTTTGGTCACAATTAAGTTTCAAAAGTCAAGATTCATCAAGAAATTCAAAAATATGAAGCTTGATAATCAAGGAATCAAGAAAGTCAAAAGTCAATGTAAAATTCAAACTTTTCAAGACTTAGAAAAATTTCTAAGTGTTTTAAATCTTGATAATTTCACTACTTCATGACCTTTTTTTCACCAAGATGCAAGATGATTCAAAGAAAACTTTCAACATGAAAGTTTTAGATCTTGATGAATTATACAACTTTGTATTAGAGGGTTGATGTCCAAAAAACACTTAGATTTGAAGATATAATTCCATGAAGTCATGACATTTTCATAAAACACTTACTGAAAATTTTGACAAGTTTAGGCAGATTTTTGACCTAACTTCTTGACCAATTTTCACCTAGTTACAATTTAATTCTGTCAAAATGGTCAACATGAAGGTTGTAGAAAATGTTTCAAGCTTTATAAAATGTCAAATAACTTGAAGAGATCATGCTTGAGCTAAGAGAATCAAAGACAAGAAGTTAGGCATCCATTCTTAAATTACAAGTCATTTTTGTGATAAACACTTGACCAAAACCCTAGCCTATGCTGCATAATCTTACTTTGCAGGCTTCTAACTTGTGTTTCACTCTATAATTAATTAATTACACAACTGTTAGAGCTTTGATCCAAGCATTTGAGCCATTATCCAGGTTGCATTTCCATTTATGGCACAAAGGTAACACTTCCATTTTGGAAAAGCAAGCTTTATTACAAAAGTCAATGCATTAAGCCTC